AAAAAAAAAAAAAAAAATTGAAAGAAACGAGGAGAGAGGAGAATTTTCTTTGACTTTACTAGTGCTCTTGGCGCCCTGTGCCTGTAGATGATGATGTAGGTGGCCAAGCCATCCCGCTCAACTTTAACAATTTCCCAAGAAAAAAACGGTATAGCCATACAATGTTTAGCAACTGTATGCTCTCACAGTGAAGTATTACTCGGTAAGCGCTCGGGATGCGTTAGTATCTACATTGTCACAGTTACATGACCTCCAGGGTCCTTACAATACTCAGATAGACACTTAGAGTCACTTATGATATTAATAACAAACAGCCAATGCATTCAACTGATTGATTTGTTATCAAAAAAGAGCAAAAATCACTCTCTATCTCTATCATAACCTATACCCGCTATTTTATAGCGAGGGAATCTATACCGACTGCCCATGCACAACCCTAGGCGTTCGTATCACCCGAGCTATCCCGTAACTTTCAGACCTTTGAAATACCCCCATTCATAGCAGACCACATAACTACCCAGATTACTTTGATAGCCGCTGCTTCACATTACGGTGCACGTGTACATTGTGCTCCTTATATACCTAGTATTCAACCCTCATCGTCCCACTGTTTGCAACCCCTTAGTTCCTCTCGCGGGTAGGCAGAGGCTGAGCTCCGTAGGAAAAGGCCTGGGCCAGACGCCTCTCGGTGTTCCGTCGGCCGTTGACAAAGTCGGGGTAGTTGAGAGTCAGCTCGACAGCCCCGCTGGTGATGGCGTCGACGGCCTCAACACCCAGCATGAAAGAGTGATCCTGGTTGCCGACCTCGTATCTCCAGCTGCCGAAGCGGCCACGAGAGTAGATGCCCATGTCCTGGAGCTTGGGCAGGAGCTCCGTCAGGACACCCTCACGCTCCAGAGAGGGAGTGGGGTATCCGTGGTCAAAGGCACGGTGGTAGGTCGAGACGATCTCGTCCTCGGGCTTGAGCATGTCGGTGTTGACGAGACCCTGGATGCAGTCCTTGAGCAGGTTGTCCACATCGACAGGCTTCAGCTCAGACTGTGAGACCTCCAGCATGATGGACCAGTAAGGACCATCCTTGGCATCGGAAGAGGCAGCCTTCTCGCCATTGGCAAGGTACAGGGTTGGCAGCTTGGCGTTCTTCTCAGGCTGGTTGTAGGGAGAGTAGTTGGAGAAGATGGTGGCACGGTAGAAGGGGCAGTTGTCCTCGGGGAAGTACAGCCAGCACTTGTCGCCGATGCGCTCAGGGCGCTCACCACGGATACCAACACCAATGACGTGGGTGGTGGAGTAGAAGAGGCCCTTGGACAGGGTGATGAGCTCCTGGTTGCCCATCTTCTCGACGAGGTGGTCGACAGCCATGGTGTTGACTAGGGTGCCATAGCCAATGGTGGTGCCGTCGGCCATGGTGACGGTCTTGTTGGCGGCGTCGACCTTGGTGACCTCACCAGACTTGCCAAACTTCTTCTTCTCGGCGGGAAGAGTGTCGGCGACGGCGATCCAGATACCACCGGTACCGTCCCGAGCGGGGAATCGGAAAGTGGCATTGGGTCCCCAGTTACCGGCAACCTTGTTCAGGACGACGTTCTTGGTGACGGTCTTGACATCGGGGGCAGCAACTCGCTCGCCGAGCCACTGGCATTGCATCTGGAAGAGGGAAGCGTCAGTACAAGTACACGTATTTGCGATGGATAATTTTTTTGGGAGAAAAAACCCGCGAACTTACCTTGGTGGTAGGGACGGCCCAGACCTTGTAGTTGTAGGGACGCATGAAGATATCAGCAACACCAACACCGGTGTTTCTGATGATCCACTCGTCAAAGTTCTTGGGCTTGGTGTTGGCTACGCGGTGCTCAAGGGCAGCGTCGATCATGCCCTCCAAGCATCTGACCTGGTCCTCCTTGGGGAGCATGGAGATGTTGTTCTGGAAGGGATAGGGGACCCAGAGGCCCTTGTAGCGGACGTAGGAGATTCGCTGGTGGACGAACCAGTCGTCGTCCTTGGGGAGAGCCTCGTCCAGGCAGTCGTCGAAGTACTTGTAGTGGGAGAAGATGACATGACCGCCAACATCGTACAGCTAAAAGAAGCAGCAGCTGTTAGCGCAACGATTCCACGCGAGGTTCCACGGCAAAGGCGAGAGTGAGGACTTACGAAGCCTTCAGGAGTGACATCAGTACCGGCGAGACCACCAGCCTTGTGGGAGGAGTCGACAATCAGCCATGAAGGGCCATTCTAACGACACGGTTAGCAACGAACAAGAACAACATCGCGGGGTATCAAGATCTGGCGGTGAAGGGGGCGCACGTACGATCTGGTTCAGACGCTTGGCGGCACCGAGACCAGTAGGTCCCATGCCAATGACGAGAACATCAACGTTACTGCAATTGAATCAGGCGTTAGTTGCACAACAGCTTTGGAACGAGGACAGCGTCATGTAGAGGCAATTGAATCCATCCAGCATCGCGAATATTTCACGCTGAATAGGGGAAGCAGAGAGGAATACGCACATGTCGGCCATGGTGGGGGAAATTTGGTGAGGCTAGAAGGAGAGAAAAAAAAAGTTGAAGCTGGAAAAACGGAGGGACGGTGCTGCACACGCGCCAAGAAACAACGTTGAAAGGAATGGGTATAAGGTGATGCCTTTTGCAAAGAGGATGAAGGAGAAGCAAAAGAGAGAATCCAATGGATCGCGCAGCTGCCAGGCAATTTGCTTTTCAAGTCTTGCAACTGGGAAAGGAGTCGGTGATGGAGGGGCTGCCCGAACTATTCTGGCGACAGGGGCTGGCAGCGCGCCCAACCCAATTCTCACCTCAGTTTTATTACCTGTCCTCTCCATTGACCCTACGACCCTGGCAAGCCCGATTCCACCCCTCCATCCCACTCGCAAGTACGAGTCGCTAGCACGCGTACGGCGTTAGTATCACCAGCCTCGACCAACGGCGGGTGGCCAAGCCGCCACTGGGTGGGCAGGGGATAATGAAGAGTCCCACCTCCAGTGGTTTGGGGGCGCAGAGCCGTTTGCAACTCCAGTCGCAGCGGTACCAGTACTCGGCGCGCCGCACAGTTGCAAGTAGCGCCCCGTCCGTGGTGGCGTGGGCGGGGGCCTGCAGCGGGCGGATCCAGCGTCTACAGCAGCCATCCAGCGCCGTTCCTGGTCCTGCGGCGGCCCGCTGTTGAGGCCAGAAGGCTGCCGGAACAAGCTTTGGATATCAAATTAGATGCTGAGCACGGGGGTGATCTTGAGATCTTCGAGGCAACCCAGTACTTGGTGCTGATGTGAGTGCCAAGCAGCACCGGCATGTACAAGCAGGTACGGGATTTCTGATCGACGGCCGACAATACGATACCGACAAATGCAGCCTCGAGATTCGGCATTGTTGCCAGCCTTGCTGAGGTTATTTCTGGACTGGGACTGGGATGGGATGGGACGAGATGAGATGAGAGGGGATGGGATGAACAGAGTATTACGGAGCACTATCTGGTACGGCTGCTACGCTGCAATTGCTCGAGATTACACCTTGGACGCTAGCATGCTGTCGCAATTTCTCGTCAAAGCGCCAGTTGATAGGAACATTGAAGCCGCCTGATCGCACTCGCACGCTGCTATTACTATATCGCTCGAGAACTGATACCACCACGGCTCGCTCCATCAGCTTAAAGTCGAGCCTAATTCATCACTTGATGCATCATGGTTTTGCGCAAGCACAGGACGGGCGTTTTGGCTGGACTGATAGGCGGGTTCCGTATCAAGATGCTGAGACGGAAGCTTGTCCTCCCGGGGCCGTTTGCGTTGATCCCGCCTCTGTTCACCACAAACTACAGCCGTGAAACCAGCGGCATTGGATACTCGATCCCTTCTGAGGAAAAGGAGACGCAGCAAAAGGAAATGCTTGTCGCACGGCATCGGCCGGCCTGGCGTGACACTGGCTGAGGCTAGTTACCGCGCCCCTGGCCATCTCTCGGTACATGTCCCGGGCATCTACACTTTTCCATCAGCCGGCGCCATGGCCTTTGTGGAATCCGCGCAAGAGCAGAGGCAAACCGGTTTCCTTTACACGCGTTTCCACAGAACGAAGCAATGATCTTCAGGGAGGCCAGCAGCGTGACGGTGAGCGCTGAAAGTTCCAGTCAGATGCAGATCCTCGACCCAGGCCAATCGAGGGCGAGCAGAACAGAGAAGCGCTGCGTCGTCACCTTTGTCTGGGGCCGCGACGTCATTGGATCCAGGCCCTTTGCTGCCCCGCTGCTACAAACGGCCTAGTTCCCACAGTTGCTGCACGACGGTTGGTATGCGGCTGTACTCCGTATCAAATCCTGAAACAGCGGCAGATCAAGATCTACGGCCGTGGTGCTCCGTGCTGCGCTCCGTGCTCCGTAACACGCCCGAAAACTCTGTTCCTGCGACAAATGATGGGTGCACCCAGCATAAGAGGTGCTCGCACTGTATGTGCCTGGCTGTAGTGCTCCATAAAGGTGCTCCGTTTTATTGACGGAGCAGTCTATACTTTGTCTACAATGTGCAAGCGACAAGAGCTGAGCATTAATCGCGTAGATGGATGCATGTCTTAGCAAAGACCCGCAGTCGTGGTGGTGCAACAGTGACAATGATGTCGAGGAGAGTGGGCGTTGTCTCGGTACCAAGTAAAACCTCCAGCCTCGCCTTTGCAAAAGAGAGCAGTTGAAGAAAGGGGAGCAAGCATTTCACTCCTAGGGATAGAGATAGGGATAGGGATATTCGAGCGACTAACCCAAGAGGCACTGTAGAAGATCGGTGAGACGCCCGCGTATCATCCCATCAGGTTGCAGCTACAGAAAGTTCCATGTCGCATGTGCATTAGCAGCGAAGAGTTGTCAGGAGCAATATCGCGTACCCCGTTATATACCGCCTCCGTGCCTGGATGGGCCCCTTAGTCTGTACAGTTTTCAGCAGTGATGGCCGGGCTCGTCATATCAACTGCAACTACCTGCTGGATTAGTACATATTCGACAAATGCAGACTTTTCGCGATATTAACAACCGGGCCCACATGAACACAGTGGGAGAAAGCAAAATCGCGATTGTGATGGGCAAACCGGCTGGTCGTCACAAAATCCAGGTTTGGCCTCATGCCAGCGAGCAGCTGATGGCGAGATAATTCGCCAAAAAGGAACAAGAATCGCATCCAAAACATGTGAAGCTGAAATGAGGCATCGCAGCCCTAGCCCAGCAAAGTGGTAGTCAGGACTCGCGCGTCCCTGGAAGCTCAGCGCCAAGCTTTCTCCTAGCGCACCTCGTATCGTGGCCCCCAGGCTCACATGCTGCCAGCCGCAACGTGGAGAAGAGGCTACCGCTTCAACGGCATTGCACAGGCACAAGGCATCGTGAGAACGTAAACGAGAGCAACTTCTTGGCGTCTGGCTCCCCCGCGATCTTTCTAGTTCTCGACCCCGCCACTGGCACGAGGCCTATGCAAAGTCAAAACAGACGACTGACAAACAAGACAAACTGATTGTGTCTCGAAGATGGATGTCCCGTCCGGGCTGCGACCCCTGAAATGCGACCCCCGAGTATGGCAGTCGTCGCAGCACCGACGGGTCTATTGAGCTGCTGTGCTGTTGTTTGCACATGAATAGGCACATGCAACGTCTGTCAATTTGTAGGAGCACTGTGTCGAGGACGAAGCCAGTAAAAAAACGGGGAGTGGCCCTGTTTTTATTTTTATTTTTAATTTTGGTTCTCTTGTCTCCTGCCATCTGAGTCAGGTCATCATCATTTTTTTGATAACTATTCACACTGAGCGTTCATACTAAACACCTAGATTTGCCTCTATGCCACGGCTGCGGCTTACTATGATATGACCCATCTCATCAATCTAAAATTACACGCTTTACCTGCTAAACTCCCCTCGACCTCTGATGCCGTGAATACAGATGCAGTACGACACGCTCTGTACTTGTACACGGCTAGGGCTGTGGCGATGCAGAGAGGCTGCGCTTTATTGGCACCCCCATCATTCCGTAGATGATCTCTTTTCCCTTATCTCTGGTGCCTCCGCCTCCATCAAACGTGGGTGGATTGATTCGCCAGGGGAGTGAATGATGCTAGCAGTAGTGGCCCCCCTCCCCTGTAGGCCGTAGCACTCCCTCGTCCCTCTGCCTTGAGCCAGGGCCTGCCAAAGCCCCCCTGAAAGCACCCGGCTGGGCAGCGCAGACTCCCGTACTTGTACCAATGTGGCACTGGTGGTCGCGGCCCTAGCCCTGTACTGGTACCTGCGGGAAGCATTTCTGGCACCTCGTAGCTGCTACGGCCTTGCTAAGCATTATACGCGCGCAGGAATACACTGGAGGCCAATTTCCAGGAGCAGAGACGCGATTTTAATTGCCTCGATGCGCCGGGCTGTGTCTCCGGCTGGCATTTCTCTAGTCTCGTAGCCGCAACTCCTATTTGACCTCCTCGTCCCTCAATCGAGAGACCTCTTCTCTTCTCTCTCTTCTTCTCTCTTTTCCGAGCACACCACCACCGCCTTTTGTGCAACTCGTATTTTGCTTTTTCCCCTTCTTTTCCCTCTAATCGTCTCTGCAACCCGCAAGCGCCCAGCAACCCCAAGGTCATTCTTACACTTGGCTGCTTGCGCGAGACTTTTCTTCTTCCGGGCGGTCCCTGTTTTATTTTTTTCGTTATACGAACAGCACCCTCGCTTTATTGCATACGGGACACCCCTCACACTCTTTTCTCACGCTCTCAACCCACCCCTGGCCGGCTTTTCTGAGGTTACGTACTTTCGTACCCTGCCCTGCTAAGAAAAAAAAGGACGCCTGTCAGTCCGTCCACTCGTTGTCGCTGCGCGTCTCCCCTAAATCCAGAGACAAAACCTCTGTGCGAGCAACCGCCGCCCTCACCTTCTCCAACATTTACACGCCTGCAACTCTCAAGCTCTCTGCGAATTGCAACAGCGCCACCACCATGTCTGGCGAAGAAAAGATCAGAGTGTCGGGCGACATCACTCGCGCCGACAGCTCTCCTGTCCTGCCCACCGTCAACCCCCAGGTTGACAAGCCGGCGCCCGCAAAGGCTTCTTTGCACCCCATCTTCTATGTTGTGTGAGTCTTGCCATTGAGAGAGGGAAAATTGTCGCGAAAGACGACCGACGAGGCGATGATGGAGCTTGTTTTGCTAATGCGCCGCGCAGCACATGGATTGGCTTCAGTTCCTCCGTTATCCTGTTCAACAAGTGGCTTCTGGACACGCTCAACTTCCGTATGTGCCTCCCCCTTCTAATCCTAATAACACTCTTCTCCCGCCAATTCAGAATGTGCGCTGACGCCTTTTGGCTCCAGGCTATCCCGTTATCCTCACGACTTACCACCTCACCTTTGCCACCGTCGTTACGCAAATCCTGGCCCGCTGGACGACTCTTCTCGATGGCCGAAAGACTGTCAAGATGACCGGCCGCGTCTACCTGCGAGCCGTCGTGCCAATTGGCATCTTCTTCAGCTTGAGTTTGATCTGCGGTAACCTGACATACCTCTACCTCTCCGTTGCCTTTATTCAGATGCTCAAGGCCACCACTCCCGTCGCCGTCTTGATTTCCGGCTGGGCTCTGGGTGTGTCCTCGCCAAACCTGAAGCAGTTCCTCAACGTCTCCGCCATTGTCGTCGGTGTCATCATTGCGTCGATGGGCGAAATCCACTTCGTCGTTATTGGTGTCATGTACCAGATTGCTGGTGTCATCTTCGAGGCTCTCCGACTTACCATGGTCCAGAGACTCTTGAGCTCCGCCGACTTCAAGATGGACCCTCTGGTTTCTCTCTACTACTTCGCCCCCATCTGCGCCGTCATGAACGGTGTGGTTGCGCTGATTTGGGAGTTCCCCAAGGTCTCCATGGCTGAGGTTTACCACGTCGGCCTCTTCACCTTCTTCCTCAACGGTCTCTGCGCCTTCATGCTCAACGTCTCCGTCGTTTTCCTGGTTAGTTGCCTTATTCCCAAACCCACTTGCAGTTTCAAATGAGCTAACTTTATGCACACAGATTGGCAAGACTTCTGCTGTTGTCCTGACCCTTTGCGGTGTCCTTAAGGACATCATGCTTGTTGTCGCTTCCATGATCATCTGGGGCACACAGGTGACTCCCCTCCAGTTCTTTGGCTACTCCATCGCTCTCGGTGGCATGGTCTACTACAAGCTCGGCTTTGAGGCTCTCAAGGGCTATGCCGGCGAGGCTGGTCGCCAGTGGGCTGAGTTCGGTGCTCGCAAGCCCATTCTCCGCAAGCTGTCCATCATTGTGTTGGCTGTCTTCCTCATTTTCTGTCTCTTTGGCGGTCTGGCTCCTACTTATGCCCCTGAGTACGACCCCCACAAGCTGGCCTCTGAAGTCACCAACCACTTCAAGGGCAATGCTGCTGCTGCGGCTGCCGCCCAGGAGGCTTCTTAAACGTCATGAATGAAACCATGGCTCCATTTTTTAAGAGCCAAACTGTAAAACGAAGTACGATTGCGTCAATGGCGTTGTTTGGTTGGAAGGACAGTCAATCTAACGGTCAATCTTCTTTTTCTTGTGAGCGACGGGGCAATGTATAAGCCAGGGCCCCCGGCGCGTTCTTTCATTCTCACCAAAAATTCCGACAAACCAGAAAAAGGTGTCACTCTAATTTGGAGACAAAGAGGGGCTTGCGTCATCCTTGGTTGTTTGAAGGCCTGTTATTTTTTCTTATTGGTGTATAATTATAGAGCGTCGAAGCAGCACTCCAGGTCGATGCTGCTCGAACAAAGTTTGTATCGCGCCTAGGTCTTTAATTAGATGTACTTAGAGATGGCGTGAAGCATGAGTTTATAGAAATGTAGAGATGAAATCACTACAAAGCGTTTTAAGTATGTTGAAAAAGAAAGAAATTAAAAGAAAAAAACTTGAAGACTCATATCATGCATAAGAAGCGTTTGTAAATTTTTTTTTTTTCCATTCTTCCTCACCATGATATGAACGGCAATAAGTGGCAAAGTGGTGCAGAAAAAATCAATTGGTGTAGCTACAGAAAATAGCCAAATGGTCTATCTCAAGGCCTCGGTTTTTGTTATCTTCCCCCTTCCTTCGTTGCCATTCCATGAACCAGCGCCCGGGTCAGAGCCACTGGGGAGAGATTGGTGTAATCCGTGTTTCCCTCTTTTCAGATCAAATGTCGCTTTTTCGAGTCCCACGTCACTGGCAACGAGAAACATTCACGTATTAAAGAAAAAACATGTGAATAATTTTGATAATGAACATCATATTTGAGCCCATAAACCGTGGTTCCTTAAAAGTACCAATCGATGCTCTTTACATCCCGCCAACTCCCAAACCGTGATGGAGAAAACGATTTTTAATTTAGAATCCTATTAACAAGCAAGTTGGTTAGCGTCTTGATCTCCTTTTGTATGTCGATGATTCTCAAATGTCCGGGATTGTAAAAACATACTCAGAGGGGTGAAGAACCATCGGTTCTTGCCGCTGGTGTATCGCTCCTCCAGAACCTTCTTGACAGTCTTCTTGGCGTCCTCTCGCTGGCTGACCTCCTTGAAGGTGTCTGCGGAGATGGTGCCCTTGATGCCCTCGAGCTCAAGGGTGTATCGGGTGGGCATCAGGTGGTTGTAGTTGATGACCTTGATGAAGGGCTTGACCTTGCTGCGCTTCTCCTGTCGGGTCTTGGACATGCGACGGGTGATCTTTGAGGGGTAGCGCTCGATGCCGGCAACGATGGCGTGGCCGAAGGGGTGAGGCTTGTTGCCGTTGTCGACGGGCTGGATGATGACGACCTGAAAGGAAAAAAATGTCAGCACTTCCAGACCATTTTTACTTTTGTAAAACGAAGTCGCAATCCTTCTCTCTCAGAACGACAAATTCCCAACAGCACTCGTGTCGACAAATCAATTTGCCCCTTCTCGGTTGATGTATATCCTCCTCTTCCCATCGAATGGTTTCCTCCAAGGGCAGAATGAAAATTGATGCGACGTCGAGTGCCAATTTGAGAATTTGACGCCGGCCGATTTGGGAATTGCTTTCGTATTATTGAATTCGTACCTTCTTGCCGGCATATCGGCCTCGGGTGATGATGGCGACTCGGCCGACCTTGAGGAACTTCATTTTGTCCTGCCTGTGGGTGGTCGGATATGTGCTGGGAAGGGTAAGGGATTTCGTCGTCAATAGAACCGTGATCGGGAATTTGGTGCAAAATTTGGGGTTTGTGGGCTGTCGATTTGGGGCAAGCGACTCGCAGGTGCTATGTCACGTGGAGATTGCGCTTGCTTATCAACAGTGGGGCACGTGTGCGCCTCTCTTTGCTGAATCACCCGCTCTTAGTTGTAGAGCGATATACGAGTAGCCCTCACCAGCAGCTTTAATAAGAGCTTTGGAGCAAAGATTGGAACCAAGTCGACATTGCGATAATGCCTGCGCCGACGTACATCATTTCTCGGGTCGCTGACCCTATATTTGCGGTCTTTATTGGCTTGTCGGCGGCTGCGACGAGGATAAACCGTGAGGAAAAGGCTAAGGGAAAGACAACGAATGAGACAATAGAGGCTGGACTACGGTATGAGACTTTGAAAATGCAAATTGGATGCTTCGCGTCTTGCTAAACAATACTTTCCTAGACGCGTTGGGCTTTCTAAGAAATAGCTTTTTGATTTCTTGAGTCTCAAGGCCTTAGCCCAGGAACGCCACTATCCTATGCTCTTTAAATACACAAACGCCAAAATATGGGTCACCACTATGTGATGATTTTCAACTCAAAACTACTCGCATTCTTGGGGAATCGCATGTACCAGGCTCGTTAGAGTTCTAAAAAAGAAAAGAAAAAAAACTTTCACATCTCAAATTCAGGGCCATACTCCTTCTGCATCGCTTCTCGAACTATTTGCCCGCAGAGCTTGGCTGTTGGGTTGACACTGACGGCCAGAGCTTTTGCAATCTGGTTTCCATATCTGCCGCCGAGAGCTAAGTCTCTTGAGGCGGCTTCCTCAAAGTCCACGCGGGACCAGGAGGCTTCTGGGCGGCTGTCATCGATATCCAGCTGGCGGTCTGATAAGAGCTTGGCCGTTCTTAGGTAGATGGCTGCTCGTTGCGTATGTGCCATGGACAACGTCCGGGCTGCCTGCGCAGACATGGGGGTCGATGGCAATGGGGGCGTGAGCAGCCGGATTGCAGTGTCCATATCCTCCAATGTTTCCAAGGCTGACTTTCTCTTCTCAGCTTGTTCTGGCTGAGGGATCAACGGCAGTGGCATGGTCGATGTATAGTTCAGCAGCATGGCGTCTCCGTACAGCCTGCGCATGATTTGCGCGCGGTTGTTTCTTGCGCTAGCGTATAGAGGATAATCTGAAATGAGATTGCCAAAATCTGACACGCAGGTCTTGTAGCCCTCGATGGCCTTGTCTGTGTCCTCTTCGCTCTGGAAGCTGATGAGCTGCGTCTCGATGACTTGGAGAGTGCGGATGATGGTGCGCTCCCTCTCCATCACTCTCTCATAGACGCTGTGGTCGACGACATGGGGGTCGCGAGGCAGCGCAGAGTCAATAATGACGCCCGCGGCCGGATTGGACTCGGGGTCTTTGATCTTCTCGAGCACATTGATGTCGTGTCGGCTTAATGATACGGTCGTCATTTTGGCTGTGGTATTTACGTCGACGCTTGACGTTTCGAAGAAGAGTAAATATCAGGTCCACTTGTGGTATTATCCAGCGGAAGATTTGATGCGATTTGGGAAAACAGCTGTTTTAGAGATGGAAAAAAGCCACCAAACAAGCAAGTGGCGGTCCTAATCCATATGAAAACCCCGAATGGTCTACGATTACCTACAGTAGCCGTGTCAAGTGACTCGCCGCTCCAAAAAGTTTACCGCGATCAGCACTTCGGCAGCTAGCGGAGCCTTTCCAGTAAGCGGAATATATTGATCCTTATCTCAGACAAGATCGATCGGCTTGCGACTCTACAGAACTCGCGTCTGTGAGCGCCCGCATGCTGTCATCCGTATGAAGTCGGTGGCGCGGAAGCAAAGCCGGGCTCAAGGCGGGGCGGCCATTGTCGGCTCCCCTCGGTTTCCACCGCCGGCGCGGTGCCATTCCGCACGGCTTCTATCTCCCGGCGCTACGGTGTTTGGAACCGTTCGCAGCAAGGAGATTCATCGTTGCATTGACGATCGTGGCAAGGCCCCGCAGCAGAAACGAGGCGTTGACGGCAGCGACCAGTGAGAGAGCTGGCTTTTATCATAGCTGTCTGTCTAACAGGCCTCGTGCAGTGGTGCTCCGAGCTGGCCGGGGGATAAACACATTGCCCTATTACGCAGCAGGTGTTTCGGAACCAAGCATAAGCCGCCTCGAAACTCTGAATCAACTTGGGCCGTTAGAATCCGATGGCAGAGGTGATGGCCGGTGGAGATGCTCTGGGAGAGGGTTTACAACATTGATAAGCCCGAGCTGCCCACCATGGGCCATATATATATGCCATTCGAGCCTCCAAGCCACTGAGCAAATCTGAATCGAGATACTATCGTCAATACAGTACCTTACATCTTTTCAAGAACTTGTACTTGGTTATTCTATCTTGCTTTAACAGGCACTTATACAAATCGGTTTCCCCAGAGATCCACCCCCATATACCTTCTGAGTGGCAATGTCCCCGTCTGCTATCAGCAACTCCCCAGTGCAGCAACCCGCTACCAACGGTGCCAATCCCGACAACTTCGCTATCCAGCCGCCCGCCGACTTCACCGGCTATGATCACATAACCTGGTGGGTTGGCAACGCCAAGCAGGCGGCCGCCTATTACACTACTCTCTTCGGCTTCGAGACCACCGCCTACCGCGGCCTCGAGACTGGCAGCCGATACTTTGCCTCATATGTCATCTCCAACAATGGCGTTCGCTTCGTCTTCACGTCGCCTATTCGATCGGAGGCTCACCTCCCTGAGGACGAGCCCATCTCCGCGTCGGACAGGGCTCTCCTGAAGGCCATGCACGCTCACCTTGAGAGGCACGGCGATGCCGTCAAGGACGTTGCTTTTGAAGTTGACAACATCGCGGGCGTATATGACAAGGCTGTGGCCGAGGGCGCCATCGCCGTCCAGGGCCCTACCACCACCAAGGATGACAACGGCGCCGTCACCACGGCCGTCATCTGCACATATGGTGATACTACACACACCCTCATCAACCGCCGAGGCTACACTGGGCCCTTCCTCCCCGGATTCCGCGCTGGTAAAAAGCGCACTTCCTCCACGGAGATGCCCGTCGTGCCCCTTACCCGCATCGACCACTGCGTCGGCAACCAGTCGTGGAACGAGATGGTCTCTGCCTGTGCCTTTTACGAGCAGTGCCTCTCCTTCCACCGCTTCTGGTCTGTGGACGACTCCCAGATCTGCACCGAGTTCTCCGCCCTGAGCTCCATCGTCATGGCCTCTCCCAACAACATTGTCAAGATGCCCATCAACGAGCCCGCCGCAGGCAAGAAGATGTCCCAGATTGAGGAGTACGTCATCTTCAACTCCGGCCCGGGCGTGCAGCACATTGCCCTGCTCACGTCGGACATCATCGCCTCCGTCTCGGCCCTGCGTGCGCGCGGCGTCGACTTCATCAACGTCCCCTCTACGTACTACGACACCATGCGCCAGCGCCTCAAGACGGAGAAGCGCAGCTGGCAGCTCAAGGAGGACCTGGACACGATCCAGCGCCTCAGCATCCTCATCGACTATGACGAGGGCGGCTACTTGCTGCAGATCTTCACCAAGCCCCTCATGGACCGCCCTACGGTGTTCATTGAGATTATTCAGAGAGACAACTTTGAGGGCTTTGGAGCTGGTAACTTTAAGAGCTTGTTCGAGGCCATTGAGCGAGAGCAGGCCGAGCGAGGAAACTTGTAACTGTGTATATAATTGACCTTTTTAGCGTGATTCATGTTTGGGAGTTTGATAAAAACTTTTGGGGCATTTTTATAAAATGCGATAGGAGCTTTGAGAGCTTAGTTTAAGAGCATAGTGACTACGATTACGAATCATGCTGAATGAAATATTAAATTTATTTCAAAAAGAATACTTCTTCCTATACTTGTGTGTATCGTTTTGGTGTTGTGATCTTCTTTTTCCCTTTGTTCCATAATGATGATAAACAAACATCTATTTTTGTAGATGACAAAAATCATCTCCCCTTCTGTAATGAATAGAGCGCCAACCGTGTACTCCGTACATGCTCATACCTAGACGCCATGAATACCTAGTAGCTAATAAATAAGAAAAAGAAAGAGGCTATATGTCCAGACCACAAGTTCAAACAAACATCCCCATAGCGCCCCTTTGAAGCTATTTTCAGCGTAGATCTTCCTCCTCCCCCTCCTCTTCCTCATCTGCAAGTTCCATAAAACTACCCATCTATTACCATGACTCCATCACCGTTCGCATGCCCATTCCCATTTGCTTCCGCCATCACGCCATCAACCCCAACAGGCACCGCTTGCGACTGGCTCTGGCATCCAGGACAGTTATGTATCACCATATGAGCAAAGACATCACAGTCAATGCAGAAGTGGTTGCCGCACACCTGGCATTTGTACCTCCCGCTTTCACTCACGCCCTTTGCCGACGCCTTTGCAGGTGCTGCTTCATCCTTTCCTTTCTCCCTGTTAGGTTTGGGTGGCTCTTGAAAGGGACTCTGGCAGGAGAAACAGGCTGTGGATTGCCCAGCTTCGGCCCAAGGTACTTCCACCCAGTTTCGTAAAGGGAAAAGATGATGATATGATCGGGCAAGATGTGTAGACAGAATAAGCGTCAGCCCACAGGCGGGACACTCTGACGGTAGTCTGCAGACCTTGGCGCTGCATCGAGTGCAGAGGTAGCCCTCTCGGCAAGGCTTGCTGTGACAAGCGCAATAGCTGGTGGTTCCTCCGGGCGCAAGCGTCCGCGACGGGAAGCCCATCATCAAGAGACTGGATGTGCTCTGCTCTTTTGTTCGGTTCACGGGCGGTGTGGTTGCCGCGAGAAACAGCTCCTTGTAGTGTGTTTCGTCCATGGCGACATTGTATTGGGATTCGTCGCCCGCGTTCGTTCGTGAGCAGAGCTCTGCGCAGATGGCGACCTGGGCCGACAGGCCGACGACAGAGACTCGTATTCTGTCGGCGATGAGGTTGCTGATGGTGTCGTGGATGTCGCCCGGGTCACTCGATAGCAGGGCTCCGTAGATGATGAGCACCTCTCGTGTGCCGTGTGAGGGAGCATGACTATTCATCAAAGGAACCATCTCCAGTTAGCTCTGCACGTCCAAAGAAAAAGAGAAACAACGTCATTCCAAAGTAGCAACTCACAACAGCGCTCCGCGACACATCTCCAGCGCATTCTGCAAGCTCGGATTCCCCTGCGGGTCCTGGCCCTCCAATTCCCGCAGCCGCTCCAGATGCTCCGCGGGATTGCCTCCCATGTCGCTTATCCTCACGGCCACTCCATCCCTCATGCCCACAATGCCCAGCTGCGAAATCGGGTTCTGCTCAAAGTACTCCCGCACAAACGCCGCCGCGTAGCTCAGCGTCAGCCGGTGTCGCGTGGGCAGCAGGTCCTTCTCGGCCATGGCAAACGACATGTCCAGCACCAGCACCAGGTGCCGGATGATGCCTCGCTGCAGCGGCGTCGTGTCGCGCAGCAGCCGCCGGCGCCGTTCGGCCTCGTAGCCCGCCAGGTTGAGCATGCCATCGTCCTCCTCGGGGAGGTCCGTCTCCCACGTCCGCTTGGACTGTTCCCATGCCTTGGACCCGTTGCGGTCGCGCTTCTTCTTGGATGGTTTGGAGCCCTTGGGGCGGGCTGCGCTTGGGTCGCCGTCGGTCACGGTGTGGTCCATGATGTCGTCGTCCGACATGTCGGCGACGTACTCGCCATCGGAGTCGGCCATTGCGAATTGGATGGAGCCAGTAGCTGAAAAGTGCGAAGAGCGTGTAATTGAAGGAGATTTTATTCTGGAAAAGTAGGAAACAAATGAGTGTGATTGATGGGAAGAATTGGACGGTGGTCTAGCTGAAGAGTTGAAAGCAGTGATGATGGATAAGGCTGCCGAGATCATTATCTCAGCCTTGTTAGCGCATCGGACCTACATAGCTCCCCACTAAACGCCAAATCAGGAGCCGGCCATGATTCGTGATTCCAAACTACATCATAAATAATTATGTAACATTAAATTCTGTCCTATTCTGAAATCCATAGAGGAGAAACATTTCCATTTCAATCTAAAACTCTTATTATTATAGGTGAACGCCACTCGCATCACCTGGGGTATACTATAAAGTTTTAGCTAAAACCCTGTACAAGCTATCTGACTATAAAGCCAACAGCATGCATCCACCTCGAAACAGTAACGCATGTTTTCTTCCAACATATTTTCTCCAACTCACAAGATGCCCTGAACCAAAGACGCACCAGTACGCAAAAACAGTGCTATGGAAGAAACTTCAAATTCCTCGCTGGATGAGGATAAGTCACGCCAACAAAAACAACTTCGGCTCCAACATAATGCGACTGGTCGTCCTGCTATCTCTTCCCTTCGGACCAAAAATAAGCAAGGAAAAGAAAAAGAAAAAAAAATCCATCACAACTACTATATTCTAGCAGTTCTCATATGTGGTGCGTGAGCGCGTCGTTCGACTCGTCGTAAACTCGTCGAGGAAAAAAAAGCGTATATATGAAGAAGCAGAGGAAAAAAAGAGAGAAAATGAAACCATCAATGCTACCGCCTATAAACGCCGAGTTTTAGGAAACCCAAAATATTGCAAGATTATCTCAGTTGTAAGGCTGAGTATTGTAAGATTGAGATGAGTAACCCTGGGAGTAGGACTGGCCGGCATATGCCTGGCCAGCATATCCCGCACTGGCGGTATAGCCCGGTGCTGTGTAAGATTCTGTTGCAGGCATGGGCCAGTCGTCCTCGGTGATGCTTGACCAGAAGACAAAAATCATGCCAACGGCTAGAAGCGTGAACAATGTTTCAAAGAGGGCTCCGTCCACTTTGCCGCTGCTCCCATCGCAGATGTACTTGCTGATCACATAATTGAAAATTTGACCAATGGCGAAAAGTAGAGCTGCGCCGGTCAAATATATCATCGGACGGAGCTCTCCCAGAACTCGGAGCACAAGGATAGTCTCGAGGACATAAAACGCAACGAGGAATATCAGCGGGATAAGCTGATACAGAACGTAGAGGGCGATGTTGCGGTTCGGGAGTTTGTAGCTGCTGTCCCAAAAGCCGGTCCAGCTGTAGCCCGTGTCGAGAGCAATATAGCCGGTGCCAATAAAGAGCGCGCCAGAGGAAATCGCCAGCAAGCCTAGTGACACTGGGGTTCCGTCGTCCAGCAACTGGTAGCCGACAACAGCGTTCAACATGAGAATCCAAGTAGTTGCAATAATGGCGCCAATGTGAAGACCACTAAAAGCCTAGATTGAGAAAACGTTAATAAACAATGAAACAAGCATGCCGGCGATCAGGATAAATTGGGCAGGCCGAGTCCAAGCAAGGCAGGCAGACGTACTATTCGCACGGTATCGTTGAGGGGGAATTCGCCAACAGAGAAAATCTCGCATATGCTGATGAGAATATAGCCGATGAGGAACAGTTGAATCTCGCTATCGGGTCATGTCAGTTGTGATGTCCGAAATCTGCGTGTGTGTGGCAACATACCGACGGCCCACGGCAGCTTTTTTCTTGTCCGCCTTGAGAATTAAGAAGGTCGCCATGACAATCCCAAGGCCACACAGGATGATTGATCCAATGTTACCCAGGTGTCGGCCGTGGCTCAGCGAAATTCCTGTGAGCTCACATCCTCCCCATGGACCGGTTTGGTTGTGAAATTTTTGAGATAGAAGCTACATAGTAAGAGCGGGTAGTTAGCTTCGAAGATCATCTGCCGTTTATGCATGTTACCGTCTCCTCTTGCTTCGAGCAAACTCACATTGCAGACCGGCAAAGTCGAGTCTTTGCAAAAGTCCTATATACAAAATTCAGTCAGTCACGGTCGTTGCACAGCGCCACACGAGAGGTGAGACGAAATGAGATGCGGTTTGGGCGACGGCGTACATCAAAGTTTCCAAAAGCCGTGGACCCCATTGTGACTGCGGATGCTTAGCAGGTTGATCAGCACACGATCAGCATCCAGCGATGCAATCACAATTGGGGCGGCAGAATTGACGAGAATGGCGATAGGGGAAATGGTCGACGGTCAGAATGCAGCAAGTCGGTGTCTGGTTGCAGGTGGCGCTAAAGCAGCTGCAGAGGCTGGTCGAGAAGTGCGTAGGTAGAGGCAGGTATTAGGGCGGAGATGCACAAGCGACACAGGCCCTTGCTCTTTTCGTCTGTTTGTATCTGGTCCTGTTCGTTTCCTTCGCTACGAGAGTCCGTCCCAGTCGGATCGAAGCGTGGAGGAATAGGCGAGGCAGCGAACTCGGCTGTCGACGTGTTTGCGCTGGCCTGGCGCTGTGGTTGCGACAGCAATGGTGGTGAAATGCTCAACAAGTACTGGTGGCCCAGGGGGGGGCAAAAGGTTGTCGTCGGCGGTGTAATGTGCGCGATGTCGTGGCTCGACTCTAAAGCGTGTTCAATGCGTCGCCCCGTCACCGTCCGTGCCTTGATCAGACTCCAACCCGATCAGAGACGAGGCCTTCTCGCTTCCTGGTGGATTATTCTGGCTGCAGTGGAGGAGGAGAGTGGGAGAGGAGGACTGGGCAGTTCTAGGCGTGCCGTAGGTACATTAGGCAAGGGAGAGTCCAATGGCGGAAAAACGGGGGTGTTCGACGCACCTGCAGCGTCCGGGGCGCTTGACGATGCTTGGACCGTTGCCGTTGCTGCGGAGTAACCAGTACCGCGGAGAAGTGTGCGCTGAGCACGCAGCGCTCGG